GAATCAACCTCTCATACACTTAGTTATTTACTGTGGCCGTAGGAGCGTTCTCAGATTGTAAGAGAGGAAAAGGACCCATCAAATTCTTCTATTTTACAATTTCTTTGAAAGAGGTTTTCATCTTTTCAGCCGTACACATGCATCCCCTGTGCGTGGTCCCTACCAGTTACCAGTTATCTACATTGAGGTCCAGTGTTACAATCCATTTCACCTGAAGATAAGATCCTGCCTTAAATTCTATGTTCACTGGGAGACTGAGTTGTCTTATCTAACTATACAGCAGCACTGTCACTCAGAAAGAAATGCAGAGATGTGAAGCACCTTACATGTTCAAGGATCTCAAAGCTCTTTACAAAGAGAGTTGGAAGCACTGACGGAAAAGGCAGTGTACTAAAAATCATTGGCAATTGCTGATGTGGAACTTTCATTAGCTTTCATGCAGCCTTTGACATATCTACCCATTTTATTAAAAGAATTAATGGGATGTAGGACACCAAGATTGTTCTATCTCTTCCCTGGGGCATTGATTGTCAAAGAGATTGCAGTAAATAAAATGTTCAGGATAATAGTGACTGGTTTGGGTGAATTTGATCTAGCATCAGGTCAGAGCATAGCACTGGGCACTTGCAAGAAAAAAAAAAAAAAAAAAAAGGAAAGTCCACAACAGTTAAAGACACTTAGTTTTTCTTCTTTCTTTACTCATAAAATGGCAGCATTTCATCCAGGAACTGTCAGGTCTGTATCTGTCTCTTAATTTCCCCTGATAGAACAGTGTTCTGTCCCTGGCCATTCATGAAATCCATTAATGCTGCTTTTGATTCAGAGAATACAGTGCTGCTTCTCCTTAAACGGGCACAGGAGAGTGGTACTGCAGGAGAGGCCTCACAATTTCTCTTCATGCTATAAACACATGGCTTTTATTCTGCCCCAATCACTGGAAGATTGAAGAGCAGCATAAATCGTTTCTTTGTCTTATACGTTCTGTTACTAACAGTTTCCTGTTACCAGTAAGTTGTTCTTATCTCAAACCGTGATCTTTGCCTTCTGTGCTTCCAGTTGGAGGGGGAGTGGGAGGGGAAGCAAGCAGCAGTGTGGTTTTAGCAGGAGTACTAAACTGGAAAATACCATTTCTAAACCGTGACATACGTGAGGAGAGGACTGTCTTAAAACACTTGAGGGGCATGGCTTATTAATTTTTTCCAGGGCCATTGCTAATATGGTAGTTTAATGAAAGATGGCAAAAACAGAGGAGGATTCTTACCTTCAGCGCTCAAATGTAATAATAATAGTTACTGAGAAAATACTCAGGGACATTAAGTGACCTGTGCTGAAGAGACTCTCCTTTGGCAAAGGCATAAGTGCAGAATTTGGTGCATTTTTTATTAGCTGAATTAGCTGTCAGGGTGTTAGTAAGTAATGAAGTAATGAAGTAATGAAGTAATGAAGCATGTGTGTGCATTTCTGTGCATGCACACAGATATATAGATATACACACGCATGGGATATTTATATTTATATTTATATTTATATTTATATTTATATTTATATTTATATTTATATACATGGCCACACATGTAGGTCATATGTTTATCCATATATTTTGTGATCAAGTATTGTCTTAAAGACTTTAAAATACACTTATAGAAAGAAACATATCTTTTTCTGGCATGAAAAGAAAAGCACAGAAGAAGGTTGTACTGTGTAATTGATTACTGGTATCTCTCTCAATCCACTAACAAGAGAAATACTTCCCCTGTTGCAAACTGCAGCAATGAGCAAATAATATGCACATCAGTCTCCCCTGACCATTCCCGTGCCCAAAACCAATATTGTTCAGCCTTTCATCTTTCAATATGTTGGGTTAAGGGCCATTGCTAAGGCCATCAGCAGGTTCTCCAGCTCAGTAGCAATAATGGTGGTGATCAGAGTGATCCTTGCTTTTTCGTTTCCTCCTTCTCACGCTGTTGATACAACTACCACAGCTGCTGTGTAGGCAGCCTCCTGACAGAGAAATCAAACACTGTGCTGTGGTTAATGTTTTTTCTTAGTGCAGTTTCAGCTGGCTGGAAATGAGGAAAAGTGTAACACAAAAGTGGTTTGCCTGTGCCTGTCTTGGCCTATTTGATCCAGGGCAGGCATTGAGGTAACTCTTACCAGCTGGACAGAAGCCAGATTTGAAGCAGGGAAGAGCAGAGGTTGGCACTATCCTAGAAGTTCCCTCAGGTTTCTAGCTCTGGCTAGAACCCTTCCTTGTTTGAGGCTCTTGTATCAGTGGTCTGAATTGCATGTGCTTCAGGGGAGCAGCTGTCAGTGTGATGCAAAGATGATGCTTTTTGATCAAGAAGCTCCTGATACATACTTCTTATCTCCATCCCAGCTCCTTCTCCAGGAAAAAAAAAAAAAAAAAAAACCCAACCAGGTTTTACCAAGTTGATGTAGTCTAAAACTGTCTTTGTCAATTCTGGAATGTAAACATTTTGGCTTTTTTAAGTCTCAGGACTCAGCTGCTCATGTGCAGCATTTGTAGCACAGCCAGCTCCTCCTTGCTGAGCAAAAGAGTCTTTAGCAGCGTCGTAGAAATTTCATAGAGACAAACTCAGCACTCATGAGAAAAGCAGACCACAATCTCCTTCCCCAGCCTCGGTAACCAAGAGCACTTCTTGCTAGCAAGCTTTTCAGTAGCTGCAGCATCGTTAGCCACTGAGCCACCCACAGACACAAGTAGTAATGAGCTGAATCTGACCTTATCAGGGAAAGGGAGAAGTGCTTTTTGGAGGAAGTGAAGCAAAGCTAAAGCAGAAAGTGCTTTTTACTATTTTCACAGAGAGTTTAGCTCTGAGGCATCTCCTTTGAGAAATGTATTCAAAACCTAACATGATGAAAGGCAAGATCTAGATCTAAGTTCCTGCCTCTGCAGCCACATCCTTTAATAATATTTCCACACAACGTCATGTAACATTACAATTTCATATACTCAGCGTTATTCCCACATATGACATCCAGCTTTCACCTCACTGCCAGCTGTCCATCTGACAGGAAGACTGAGTCATGACCTAGAAAGCAAGGCTACTTCTGTATAGTGCAGCACTGAACAAGGCTTTTGGGGTTTCTCAAAATACCTAATCTTTTTCTTTCAGTCACTCACCCAGACATTAAGGAAAAGGATTGATTAATCCTGAAGTGTCCCGGATCTCATATATTGTCTCATAAAGCAACCACAGATCTGAAAAGTTGTTCCATCTCTTCTTTCTACCCTTTAATGTTTAACACTTAAGATAATGAAAGCAAAAGGTCATCCTAACATTTACTCCCACCTCTAGGAACACAAAAGTTAAATTTGCATGGAATGGACCATGAACTTTTCCCCTACTTCTAAAAGATGAGTTTCGGTGAACACGATGTCCTGGATGGACAAAGCATGCTAGTGATCAGCCATAATACTGTATAAATGAGGGCACTGAATACAGGTGAGCATCCCCCTAGTGACATCCTATTACAACCTAAGAAATGTCTTATTTTTACCCTGAGAGTAAATCTTCTCACAAAAAACCAATCAAGGTTGGCAGGGGCATAGCAGACAGGGATATGGGAAGATGAAGAGAGACAGTTGACAAATACCAGAAAAAAAAGTGGTCTAGAAGTGAAGTGGCTGGGAAAAGTCTCTGAGGAAAGGAAGAAGTTGCCCTACAAGAAGGCTGATGGGGCCCTCAAAATGCCTGCTTACACGGAAGCTGAGAACAAATGGCGAACAGTTGAACTCAGATGATCTGAGAATTGCTCTCAATTATGTTCACAGACCTCCCAAGTCATGTTATCTCATTGTGCCTCCTGATATTCTCATTTCAGAACAGTAATAATAACGACTTCTCATCTCTGTAAGTCCTCGTAAGATCTATGGATGGCAATCACTTAAAAAGTGGTCAGTATGTTTAATTACTGTAGTACACCATCCTATGACCCAGCCAGTCTCACTCAAACACCAAAAAATTATCTAGCTCAGTTTTTAATTTATTATGGAAGTACCTCATCTTCTGTCAGCAACACTGTTCAAAAATTTATTCTTTAGCTCTGCTCTCAACATACAATTTCATCTTCATGGTTCCACATGAAGCAAAAAAATCAAATGGCTCTTCAGTACATCAATTATTTTTAACACAATAAAAAGATAGGATGACATAATATTGATTTTACAATATAAAACTCCATTCAATTTAAATAGAGGTAAAGAAGGAGCCTCCTTAAGCTTTGAACCTAAAAAATTACCACACACAATAATATCATCTGTTCAAGTAGCCATAACCTTGTCTGTACAACTGAAGTATTAGTCTGTATTATTTATTCAAGAAGCATCTGTTCTGTTTCTAGACATTACAAGTATTTTCAGGAGGAGATACCTCTTAGTGCACATTTCTTTCCAGACTTGTTTCCTTACATCTGGACTTCTTGAAACAATTACAGGAGCATAAGGCCTGGAGAAAGTTAGAAGTGGGAGTCTAATTTTAGTTCTGAGTGGAAACCATCTTCTTGGCATTCTTTCTGACTGGTGTGAGAATATCAGAGTGATTGATTTCTTTTGTTTGGGGAATTTCATCGGCAAGCTATTTATTTCAAATATGGGATTTTCTTCAGAGGTCATTTGCAAATTGGTTTTTTCCTTTGCCTTTGTCAGAAACAAATGTCAGCACACTACTGAAGTCTAGGACACAATAATTTTTACACCAGAAAAAAAGTGTCAGAATTTGCATCAGGACCTGCAGGGAAACACAGGGTTTAATGGGCTAACACATTTGATTATAATCACTTTTGGTAGCAGAAGGAAAATGGATTCTCTTTTCCTGCCACCTACCTCTTACAAAACACATTATGCAGTTTTTCATGTCATATACGTGGTTAGACAAAGTAGCAATTTATTTTGAGCAGATATTGCCTACTATTACTTCCAAAAATATGAGGTAAAACAGAGTAATCAGAGTTGTAAGATATTTACTTACCTTCTAGATCTAGAGTTGATCCACATGACAATGCTCTTGTTCAAGAATTACAGGCAGTATCTTTGTGGTCTGTGCAGTAAGTGGAATCTGTTGTTTTCTAGTTTTCACTATTGAAAGTAGAAATAATTTTTATCATATTATTAAACAGCAAATACATCTGCAGAGTGGTGAACTTGAATATGCAAGTTTGAAAATATTTGAGACATATCTGAACATAAGACAGAGGCATCCAGAGAGGTTTTCAGTGGGATTTCAGTGCCCAGAGACACAGATACATGTCAGAAACTCCTGAAAGTATTAACCATGTTTTGTATTTAACTTCTTAATACCAGTAGGACTACAACATGCAGATCCTAAGTCTTCCTGGGAAGCAGCTTGAAGGTAGGCAAATAAATTGCTCCTGAAATTTACTAAATAGTGAAAATCCAAAAGGATGCAAATTTGAACTTCACAGAATCCCAAAATGTACTGAGTTGGAAAGGACCCACAAGGATCATCAAGTTCAACTCTTAGCCCTGCACAGGATCATCCCCAAGAGTTACACCATGTGCCTGAGAGTATCATCCAAATGCTTCTTGAACTCTGTCAGGCTGAGACAGAGTCTTCCCTGGGGAGGCTGTTTCAGTGTCCACCCACCCTCTGGGGAAGGTGGAGAACCTTTTTCTAACCTCCAGCCTAAACCTTCCCTGACACAGCTTCAGGCCATTCCCTCGGATCCTGATACGAGTCCCCCAAAATACAAAACCCTACATTTGGCCAGTTAAGCAGAAACAACTGAAACTTAGAGTGTGAACTTCCTGATTCATTTTCACAGAAGGGCAGCACAGATTGACACTCAGGCACACATGGTGTGGCCTCAGCTCACTTGTCATACACACAGGGAGAGCTACTTCGTATCACTCAGTTTTTAACAAAGGTGACAGCATGCACCTCAGAAGCAGGAAAGGTTGTGGTGATGCCTTTAGCACACTGATAACACATATCCTGGCATCTTGCTGTGATACAGATAAGGACATAGAGAAACAGCACTGTCAGGCAAATGAACACAGAGTTGTTGATCCAATGCATTTATCAAAGAACTACTGTAGAAAAATATTTTAACTCTAGGTCCATCCTGTCCCTGACCATCCATTACTTCTGTAAGCTTACAAATGGGTTTCTACTGAGTTGATAACAAGAGGATAAACTGTGCCACTTATATTTACCTACTTCCCTTCTCCACTGACTGTATCATTTGGGCTTCTCTCTTTATAAATGCAATTAAAAAGTAGAGTTTGGATCTTTGCAATTAACCAACTGAATATGAAAAGCAAAGTCAAATTAAAACTGGGGTAGTTCTGAAAAAAAATAACAATGGACTTTGTTTCACCTCCAGGATGAACCTGGAGAGATTGTGAATGTAGGCTGATACTCCCTTCGGTGCTTGTGTGTAACAGTGGTCTGCATGCATGCAAATCGAGCAGAAAAAGGGCCCCTTGTGCATCAGTGCTCCATGGAAAGCATACAGGGGCTACAAATAGCTCCCTAAAATTGCCTGCATCCTATAGATTTTATCCTCCTTTTTATCTGAAGAATAAAGAAGTCTCAAAGTGGTAATAAGACTTTGCACTTTTCTCTGGAAATGTTGTATCACAGAAACACCTAAGTTTGTGTTAAATATTGAATACTATGACAAGGTTTGCTTTTCCCAGCATTATTCATTTAAGTTGCAGAGGAAAAAACAACTATTCAGCTCTGTCAGGAACTGAGAGGGATCAGAATCAAGTAGCTGATACTTCCATTGGCCAAGATTAAACAGATTTCTCCTTTCTTGGCTTTGCAGGTACGTGCTGCTGTAAAAGATGTATCTTACCTGTTCCCTTTGCTAAAAAGAAAATGTGTTGCAGAATACAAGGAGTGAATCTGAACTCGCTGGGATTCCAGCAGTGACACTACTGAGTCAGCATTTGCTTCTATTTACAACCTGTCAACTAACCTGAAGCTGTAGCAACACATCAGAGAGATGGTAGAATTTGCCCTATTTCCTCTAATCATGTAGGAGAGGAACTATTATTTTGATAGGATAGCAGAGAAAACCATACAGGAATTCAAATGACCAAGAGGAAATTTGTCTTCTTGTTTCTTATGTGCAAATTACAGCTTTCAAGCCCATTTATATCAAATGCTATGAATGTCACAAGGTCTGAACAGCCAGGAAACAATTGCAGGCTAGAAACCCTGAGGTTTCATTCTCTGAGTCCCAGTTGTGACCATGATACCGTGATGTCCTTCTTTCAGGATGATTTATAAAATTACCATCTATGAAAATCAACTTTGCATTACTGTGAGGCAGTAGTGTGAGTCAAGGAATCCTGTATTTGTATCCTAAAATGTAATGAACCAAACTGTGGCTCCATGAACCAATGGAGTATCACTGAAAAAGAAAATATACTGTTTGAGCAATGTAGAAGAAGGCATTATGCTTGAACTAAGGTTGCCCACAGAGACTGTACAGGAATAACAAGATGATATTAACAACATGATTCCCTGTCCACATGGATCAATTCTAGCACAGAATTCCAACACACCTTATGCCACTTTACAAATAGGATAAAAATAAACAAGGAATGCCATTCTTACTCTGGGAAAAGAAAGTCTAAATGCAAATCTGTAGTGGTAGAATTGTAGTAATATAAACTCCCCCTTAAGTATAACCCATTAGTTATATTAATGAAACTTCCAGACCCTACTGGGCAGATTCAGCTGAGGTATTAAATGCCACAATTAATGCAACCTGATTTTTGTGCAACTTGTTTTGTTTTTTCTTTTTTTTTTTTTTTTAAATAATGTAGCAAACAGTTCATACACACTGGCCTGCTCCCAACAAGTAATTCTGTACAATGTCCCCAGGCTGATTTTTTTTTAAGATACAGCTATATGAGAACAGCTGTACTTAATCAGTTAGTAGTACTGAACATAGTTGAGGTACTGAAGTGGTATAGGGAAAATGGGCTAAGGAAAAGGAATAACAGCAGGGTAAGTATAACTGCCTTCCCTGTATCTGCAACTGAGGCTGATTTAAGCAGTAAGCTGCAAATGACAATTCAGCAGTTTCTATCTGAGTTCTTTTAAAACACTGTGGGGAATACTTTCTAGTCCTTCTGATTGCTATTATTAATTTATTAAGCTGTTCTAAAACCTCTTCTACTGCCTCTTCAATTTAAGAAAGCTCCTCAAAGAAATTCTTGCAATAAAAGTCTCTTATGTGGGAATCTCACTAAGATTCTCTGTAGTGAACACAAAGCAAGGAAGGGACATTTCTTCTATGGGTTATTTTCCATGTGTTACTACTATCAAGTCCCATTGATACGGAATTGCTCTGTGTCTGGAAGTACTGATTAGCCACTTAAAAAATACTTACTTCTTGCACTGAAGAAAAAAGCACCCTCTAGTCTTTCCCTTCTCTTGTGGCTGCATTTAAGGGCAACTCTGTTCTGTCAGTTCATACCATTCAAGGGACTGTTATACATAAACACAATGGCAGGACCAGATCCTGAGTCTAGAAAACCTGCTTATACAGCCCACACTCTAGTGTGTTCTTTTTTGCCTTAACAGCACGGACAATGTTTAGTCAACATTTACGACCAAAATGCTTTAAAGCACCCTGTCTTCACTATATGTGCTTACACCTTTGTAGCACCATGAATTTGGAAGTTTTGTAACTTTAATCCTACCCTAGAGAACAATTTTCCCCTTTCCTCTAACCACTGGACTTGATGACAATAATTCGTGGCCATAAAGCCACTATCAGTTTCACAAAACAGACATCTGCGCTGTAAATTATCTTTGTTGTAGAACCGCAGTGACATTAAGACAGTAATTTCCTCAGCTACCTAGGAATTGACTCTGATTCTCAAAATATGGGTTTCCTTCTTTTTCTTCCCTTACAGTTTTCTGAACTTTGAATAACCTTTTAGTAGTACCTATACATCTTTTCATCTATATGACATATGGTCACATCCTCTCAAGCGCTCATTACTGTGTTTCCAGGGTAGCTGTATTGTCTTCAGTGGAGTTCAATGCTTTGTTTCAACATTGCAAGCTATGCACTAATGATAGTGAAAATATCATCAAGGGCTGTGAACAAAGTCATCTATAGCTATTTATAACCCATTATCACGGTAGCAAATCTTAGCTTAGCAACTGTGGAAAGAATAAACTCTTCATATAGTTTTGACTCCACTTTGAATTACATTGGTATAAACTGTGAAATTGATTGGATTGACTGAATTTATGGTGTGTGAAATCAAGGAATTTTGTATTAAAATAATCCCATTATAGCAATTCATGCAATTAAGCATCTTTTCTGGGTCGAAAGCACATAGAAGTGAGAATGACAGACCAATAAGGAATTCCTATTCTTTTCAGTAAAATCTAGTAAAACTAGATCTGAATTTCCATAAAACTCCACCATCAAAAATGCCTTTGGATATACAACACTAAAAATGCCATTGTGAACATGCTGATAAAACAGGTATGGTATTAGTTAAGCTAGTCAAGACAATAGATGTCAGAAAAGTAATTCCTTTCCTGCAGGATGAAAATAATGAGCTCATAAATATATCTCAGAGGTAGCCAGTGCTGTAAAAGCAAGGAGCATAAATTGTACTCACAGGAGAGTTCAGACAGACAAGGAGCTATTCACTCTTTTCTAGGTAAAATTGAAATGCCATGAAATACAGAGTTGTAGAGAGAAATTATGGCAACTCCTCTTACTCCTGAAGAACTAACAAGACAAACAGCAAAGTGCTTAAGCCATAGCCAAATTTAAAATATTTTTTTGATTTCCTGGCTTTGTATTTTTCTTCTTTTGGAGGGAGGTTGGTTTGCCATTTATAGCTATTTTTCTATATGTTCATGCTAATCTTTTTAAAGATATAGCTCCCTTCATGAAACCATAATCCATGAAATTTATTAAAGCATCTTTGAGCTATGTCAGTAACACTCACAGCTATAGCTGCTAATTGTCCTTCACACGGAGATTTGTTATCAAATCATAATTTATAAAAACAAAACTTTGAGTTTAACCATGCCATTTAATTTATCTGCGCTAAACATACTACACTCTCAGAAGACCACGATTTTTTTTCCTATCTGAAAAACAAAAATTGTACTTTGTGGGAATTTTGTCCTAGAAATAGGCTACAAAGTGCCAGCAGAGCCATTTTTTGAGTCCTGCTTTGGTAGCAGATTTTGTCAAGAGTCACAAACACACAGAGCATACATACACACGTGTACATCTCTTTATAATTTTCATACACACACAAAGCACTCAGCTGCCAAGCCTCAAACCTGGCACATCACATGACCAAAAATTCAAAGAGTTAAAAAACTCAAAGTCATTAATGCAACACTCTGGGAAGACTGAGAGAAGCATTCCCATATGATACATGTGAGTCTTCTTACAGATTTATTGTCAGAATTATTTCTTCATAATACAAAAATATTTCCATAACATAAGCCAGATGAAATCTGTGTAGGACCAATGTAACTCTAAAACAAACTTGAAGCATTTCTTGAAGATCTTTCTTGACCTCCTCAGACCTCGAGGTTTTAAAAGTATTTTTTACCTTTATATTACTTACCAGGATAAGGATGAATTTTAGTAGCAGATATGGTTCTTCTTGAATGTCTGGAACCTTTTCTTCTTAGAATAGTAGAAACTGATGTTGCTACTCTATGTTTATAACCTGTTTTAAACAAAACGTGTTAGTCTAAGCACAGATTAGAAGGAAAGCTGGTAAACTCTTTATTCTTAAACTGTTGAACACCTTGGAAGGTATTAAAAAAATCAGGAAGGTGTTGAAATAAGATGATAAGGAAAACCAAGGGCCAGATGATTCATATTTTCCTGAATGACATTTTCTGGAAAGTCCATTCAGGTTTGTCCCTTTCAGATTATTCCTTGCCTTTTTCTATACTGTGTACCTTGAACAAATTTTGGAAGGATATCAAAAAAGCACATGTTCCAGTACAGGTTTGGACTCACAGTGCTGACAGTGGGATAGCAAGAATGGAATGCACTGGCATCCTAGAGAGCTGACAAATTCTTTGTAAATGGATGGTGTTTATCTTGGGAAGCCCAATTTGAGAACAAGCTCAACACCACTCATAAATACAGAGCTGGGTTGAACACCTCTGACTGTTCCTCAGAACCCAGTTCATAAACTCCTCAGTCTTTCCATCCTTTTGCTGCTCTCAAAATATTGTGCTCTTGGTGGGCTTATTGCAGACAATTGTGCAGCTCTTACGGTTACCCCTGTTCTACAGTGACTGCAGTCCAGAAGCTCAGCCAGCTTCTGGTGACAGGCTCACTTTAATTCTATGTAACAGAATTTATTTTTATCTTTTTTCCTTTGAGAACACCAAGAATTTCATTAAATTAGAATTATTTAGGTCACCATTTTCTTATGAGTAGCCAGTGGAGATCTAAAATGCTGAAGCCCTAAGCATACACTGTAACAGTTAATGTCAAAGGAAGCTCTGGAAGTGTTTGTGAGACAAGAGAGGAAGAGAAAAGGCAAAACAGCTAATTTCTAGTCTAGGGCCTTTGTCATGGATCAGTTGTAACCTCCACTACGTTTATTCAGATATTTTATTTTATGCATTCATGAAAATTAATGTTTCCAAGAGTCTCAGTGTCTGCCTAGCAGAATGTCTTGCAAGGTCTCAAGAGGAAATGAATAATTCCATAATTCTTAACAGCTTTTGGTGGTGCTCAGAAATCAAGAGAAAAACTGCTAACTGAATTACAACTAATGATTATGACAATGAATTGTGGAAAAATTCATAGCAGCTGTTTCAGGAACATAGTAATGTTCTGCTGTGTTCTTTGAGCACCACTGAAAAAAAGCAGCATGTAGACTTGCAATTAAAGGTTCAATTAAAATTATATATCGTAATATATACACGTCAGGAATATAGCCTTTAAATCTGACTTTATCTGCTTGTCTGTTTATCAGTAACATATTGATGTTGTTTATGATGTTATATATTATAAATTTAACTCATAAAACCACTTTTCATCAATTAACAGAAATATTCTAGAAGCAAATCAGTAATTAGAAGCCGCAAAAAGGCATCTTTTCCTCCCTGGTTGTGTCCATGATGATGCTGAAAAACTCATATTTAATAGACAACTGATAAAAGTATTAAATCGTTAATCATCGGTACTTACTGTTCATTAAAAATAAGATGCTATGACTCAAAGCACAGAAAATCCTAGAAGTGACATTTATAAGTAGCTTTCAGATTACAAATAGAAGTCCTTTAAATTAGAGCACTTAATAGCCCACTTTTAAAGACCTAATTTACACTTTGTGGGGGTTTTTTACACATAAAATAGGTCTCAGAATTTGGTTCTGACAATAAGTAAAAGATCATGTATTTTAACCAAGATAATCTGGTAATGAGTTTCTTGAATTGGGGAAGGGGGACACAAATTTAACATTTCAATCAAGCATTTTGCTTATTCATTGAAAATATATGCATAAAGTATTTACATTATGAAAAAAAGTCACAGAAACGTTTTGTGTGTGGGAACTCTTCTTCCTTCTGTTCACTTAAGATTAAAGCTATATTCCTATTGCTCTTTCATTACAAAACTGCCTGTGGATACATCAGGATGATCAGGGAAACGGATATGGCTTATCATTTTTTTATTACCTCTGTGACCAGGGTCTCCATTCAGCATCACTGAACTGCAAGGGGAATGGACATGAGCCTGATAATAGCAACTAAATGCTGGTTGTCTGGAAGCATTCTGCCCACTCAGGGCTGATGCAGGCAGAAAGTTGCAGGATATTGCTGTGAAAGCACCTAAGCACTATTCTCTCAGGTTACAGGTTAAGTAATATTCTTTTCACTCTGATGAAAGGAAGTGTGCTCCTTGTAACTGCCTCCCTCTGACTTGGGAAGAAAAACAAGGACCAGCAGCTAAAAAATGGTTAATTTTCTGCACTGTTTTTTTTTGCAGAGGGTTTTATCTTGCTTGCTCAAAAGTCTCAAGCTCAGAGTACTCCTACACTTTTGTTCTTGCTTTCCTCAATGCATATTGCTAGAAAAAAATACCATAAATCTGGTTTCAGTCTGGACCCCAAGTGAATTGCATAGGAAAAGCCTGTCTTGGCTGGTGAAGGCATAATGTAGAAACAATCGTTTCAGTCTCTGAACTAGGGGCAAGTTCTTTCAGAGCAAAGTTCTAATCACTTGGAATAGTCAGTAGTGCTGGTTCACAAATCACAGCAATGTTTTCTTTGCTGAAATAATAGCAAAGAGAAAAAAGTGGGCTTAATTCAGCTCTGGGGTTAAGAAGGCACAGCTTGGTTGACCTGTAGTGGATTACACCACCAATGAATTTAGACAGTCAGTTCTTAGGACAGAGAGCTGAGTGCATATCTCCTCCTATAAAACCTGCCATTTTTCTTGACCGTGACCTAGATGAATCATCTTCAGGAAGGAAAAAAAGGGTGTTTCAATCCACTTATATTGGTCATTGGCATTTCTCCTTCAAACCTTCCACAAAGTTCAACTGTAATTGTTTCATCTACTGGAATCAATGTGAAACCAGAAGTTCATATCACTGAGGAGCATAGGCCACCAAGCATCTGTCAAAAACCCCACAGTTCATTCACCGTCAACAAGGTTGAATTTGCATCCACAATTCAGAGGTTAGAGATGATAATGTCAATCATCCATCTACTTCAATCCCTCTTTAAGAAGCTTTTACCATATGACAATTAAAATATCAGTGGCTGAACTACAGTAATAAACATAAGTTTTGTAATTGCAGACTTTTTTACTTACAGATGTTTTTATTTTCCTGGACTATTTTGTAGATGACAATTGAAATAGTAAGCACAAAAACTACTGGAATCATAGTGAGCCAAATGATCTTCGTTGTACACATTGGATCTGTCCACAAAACATAGAAGAGATAAAATTAGGCAGCAGAGAAAAGCAGAACATTCTGTCTTGGTAGAGTTTTGGATTGTGTCTATCCCCATAGATAAAACCAAAACAAAATAAAAGAGATAATGCCTTCTTCTTTCAGCCTTCTCTGTTTTTTGAAATTAAATTTCCTATCTAGAATTTAGCTTAATTTTCACCTGTATTTATCTTCATGCAGCTGAAATAGTTACAGGTAGCTAAGTGAATGAAAACTTTTCAACTCAGCCAGGAAGAAAATGCTTCAAAGATCAACACTTTTATTTGAAGGTAGAACAAGGGTAGAACATGTGTCCTCAATCTGGATGGAGCACAGAAGGAATTGGTGCACTGGCATTTTCAACCTCCTGGTCTATCTTCATGTATGGGAGAAGACAGGATTCTACCCTATATAGAAGGTATTCTATAGAAATTTTCTTATAAAAAAGTGAGGAAATGTCTCCTACAGGAGCTCTCTGGGGAGTTCTTTTAACTAAAGCTGCCTTTGGGGCAGAATCCCATGGGATTGGGTGCAAAAGGTAGTCTGCTCTTTTGGACAACAGCTGCTGCAAAACTGCACCTACATTCCACTGGGAATTAGTTCAGTAACAAGTACAAGCCAGGACTATATAGGACAAAGAAAGGATGTGGGGAACTTTTCTCTCTGGTTGTTTGAAAGACCTTTCAAACTATTTTGGCAGCTTTTCAATGCATACCTTAGCATTGTCAAATAACTATTTTAAAAAACAAATATGTTACTCAGACTCATAAAAAAATTAATTACAGACTGTAGCCAAACCACTTGACTTAGAATAGTATAATTAAACCTACACTGACTTCCCTTGTGTATCTTCTCCACTGAGAACTCATGAGGTAAATGCCAATAACCCCATGGCTCTCTGAGGCACAGCTCATCCTTCCTAATTCAGAACTAAAAATATCTTTTATACAGTAACTTAGGCTCCTTTCAAACAGAGCACCCTACTCCATTTTGTAGTGACTTGTAATGACTTTTGTATCAGCCTTTCTTAGTAAAAGCCCTGAGCTCCTCTTTAGCTTTGTTTTGAAGTAAAGAGAATAAAAAGATGTGTTGTTACTATTTATTGCTAATTTGAGATAACTACTACCCAGGTAAATCAACATTAGTAAAGGGTGGTTAGCTCATAGTACTGACACAAGTTAGCAGGGCAAGTTACAAATTATGCTCCTCTCATAGCTAGACCTACTTATTTTTTAAAAAATCAGCCCTAAGCTGCCCTTTTTTACTCTAGGATCTTACCTGGACTTATTTAACATAGGTTAAGCCAACGCCAAAATATGTATTTTTTTCCAGGAAAGGTACAGGATAAAATGCATTTGCCATACAAAAGCAAATTAATGTCATAATTCAGCAATTTCCAAATGACAAGTGTTGCATATGGACAGAATGGAAGTCCTCACCATGGTCCGGTAATCAGTCAAAAATATAAACGTTGCAGGCTGTCCTTGGGGAAACTAAGCCTAGTTCAGTTGAACATTTATCTTTTAAGCATACTGCAGTGAGGCTGTACTGTAGGATACTGCAGTACAACACTAAGAAAAGTCAAACCTGTCTCCTGATTCTTCTACCACTGAAGTTAATAGGGATTTTTAAATTTGCCTCCAACACAACAGGGTTATGCCATTATCAAGGAATGGAAAAACATAATTCCAGGTTGTTTCACACATGTAATTTCTGAGTCTGTTGCTGCTAAGCAAAAGACAATGTACAGACATTTACTTTGCTGTATTTCTTCTAGAAAAAAAAAAAAAGAAGGCCACAGATAAACCTGCTTTAGATCACTGTCAAAACTGTCAATTGTCTACTAAAGATGGTCTTTTACTAAGGGATGATCAAAATTGTATTCTCTTCTTGTGAAATATTTAAATACTTTCAAATGGTTGCTGAAAGCAGAGAACTACATACTAGATATTTTTTGCAAGATTTGTTTCTCTTTTTCAAGATGATTGTTTCTGGTTTCATTTCCATTGTGATTCACCTTTGTCACTTACATTCCACATAGGACTTCAGTTGCAGTGAAATATTTATACAGTCATTTTGGTCTTCCATCATTGCCATTAGACAAGAATGATTTAGGTGTTCTTCGGCTGCATTTCCTCCTCCGACTATAGAATTGTTGATATGTATTATCATCAGGTAGTAAGTATTATGCTCTACTTCTTTACTGGAAACTGTAGGGAAATTAAAATATTTATAAAAGGAAACAACATCTTCTGTTTTCACTTCAAGCTTTTGCTTTTGCAATTAAAAATTAAAACAAAACTGTTGTACCACAAGTAGTAGACCAAGAGAAAACTCTCAAAAAGAACATTAAGTTTTCTGTCTCATTTGCAAAAACATACAGTTGGTTTTTACATTATTGGCTATAAAAAGGACAAATGGATACTGAGCAGATCTGAAGAGCATTGACTGCCTGTACAAAATGCGTCCCCCCCTGCGAATTATAGCCCCTTTCTTTCTTTACTATCAGCTTCAGAGGTTTTCAGGTTTTGGTTGGTTCTGTCAGTTGTCAAAGGTAACAGGCAAAAATCAGGCTATGAAAAAAAATAAAACCCCAGTACAAACCACATGATGATAGAGATTTGAAGTGTACACAGTCTATCTCCTATCAGTTGCAGAAGGTCCTTGTTTCGCTTCAAACCACACAAGCTGTGAGATTTGTGCTACGTTAACAAGAGACAGGTAAGAGATATTATAAAAAGTGTGAAGAGTTGTACAGGTATAACTGAGAACGGAGTTTGTCTACATATAACTTCTTATATTCCATATTTGTTATGACAGCTATTTTGTTAAAAGAAAATTTTGTGGTTGGACAAGAACTGTATTTTTATATTCATGACTTGGCCAGTTGCCCCTGTTGCTGACAATGTTAGAAAAACAAAACAGAGAAGCATCCTCTTCCCCCAAAGTTTCCCGGTATTTGCAAGTGTATATGACACAGAAAGAATGTGCTGCTACTGCTCTGAAAAGATGTGGGTGTTGATGAATTTTTCTCTGTACTGCTCTGCCATTCCTTATTAAGTGCTGCTTTTTATAAAACATGAAAGGCCATTTCTGATACTACACAGTTATGGATATCATAGACTACAAAACCAAGAATTGTTATTTCTTATATAGTTGCCATCTAAATAGTTACCAACTGAATTAGTTCTTCAGATAATTTCTCACACCTATCTTCATGATACCAGCAATATACAGGTAGAGTTCCACAATGACATTTAAATGCAAATTCAGCATGAAAAATTATCCGAAAGTACAACTCCTTAAAAATAAATTAAATATATCAGAAAATTTAGGAGGATTAAAAGAACAAAAATGGGGTTATAAGAGTGTTCATAAAAGTCAGATGGCAGAGGTCAAATTTACAACAGAAATATTCCAGGTGGCTGCTGGATAAGGCACTCTTCTCACAGCACCCGCATTCCAGATCAATAGAAAGCCCCCTGAAGATAATAACACCACCCTCAAACCCCAGTTTTATCCAAGATCCTCAATGGAAAGAAATCACCATTTGCTACTGACATCTTTCACTTACAGCTGGGAACTAATGCCACTGAGAATCTGGCATAAAACCTGCATTTTCTAGCCATGCAAAGACATTGTTCATAGATTTGCAAAAACCATGGAGAACCATTTCCTTTTAAATACCAAATAAAAACATGTCTTTTATTTTGTAAGTAACTGCTTCAAAATGAAGTATTTCTCTTCACTTACTTACTTTTTTTAGCTGCTGACCCTGATCCTTGATGATCAACATTCACATCCCTCTTGGATTCACACTCTGTGTGTTTAGTATGAGACTGTTGTTCCCTCCTGGAGGATTGGCAAATACATGGAATATTTTGGAAATCAGAATTATTTACAATGGCCTTCAGCAAAATGGTCTGATTTTCTCTTCTTTGTTGCATTGATCTTTTGCAAGAATTGTTAAAAGTGCAAAGGGGAAAAGTGGTGTTATTTGATGAACAGGTATCCGTGCATGACACAATTACAGTGTTAGCTGTAAAAGAAAGAGTCCTGTGTTAGCAAGACAGTCATAGAGGACACATGGACAAATACGGGCATCGAAACATCATATAATGAATCCTCCAACCATCTTACCATGAAGTGCACTTTTTTTTCTTGAGGATTATGACAGCACGTTGAATGCATCATTTTTAAGAGAAAGCAAGCACAGAGTCTTCCCAGAATCTAAAAGCTGGATTTTATTTCCTGAATTGTAAGAAATCTCTATGTAACAGTAACTTGAATTTGCAGTGGTATCTAGACACATTTCTATTTCAAAGCTGCTCCAATTTGATTGCACTTGAAAAGAAGATGAAAGCACACATTTGGAGGGAAACATAGCCCTGGAACTGTGCAGTTGCAAAGCTCCAGTACAATTATGTTCTGAAGTAGCTATAATCAGAATGAAAACTTTCTTTCCAAATGACATTGAAACCACACGGTGAAAATACACAGAAATGCTGCTGAACCCTCAACCCACACCCTTCACATTCACTTATGTTCAGTCAACAAACAGAAATCTTAATTATGACCACGGGGTTTGGTATTCACAGTCAAATTTCAGTATCAAAGTACTGTAACTGGAGTACATTAATGCAGTCCTGGCAAACAGCAAAACCACAGAGTTAATTATTAATGAGTGTCATTCTGTCTTCCACATAAAAGTAGAAGTTTATCATGCAAGTTTTTACTTGTGTTTACTTTGAACTCTTTTTTCAGTATAAAAAAAATTAAGAACAAAAAACTTCTGTGACCCCAACATGAAACGTATATTTATGAATACAAATAACCACTTCCCAGAGTTGATGCAGCACTAACCTATAGTTTTCTAGCTATATTTCCAATTCTATTAGTACCCTTGCATGGGTATGAAGAGGAAATTTTGCATTGAATTCCCATTATGAGCAACTGGCATTATATGTTCATAAGTCCTTATGTATAGAGAGCAAAACATAGCTTTTAATTGCTCCAGTGCTCAGCTGCAATCTGACATCTTCAACAGGCCACCTGTGCTTACAGAGCAGCAGGCTGACCTCAGAAATAGTTCAGTCAGGGTTTTCAGACAGGATACAGAAATAAAATCCAAGGTCCAATGCCAAAGCCAGTTATCTTCACTTTACTGACACTATTACCAGAGTCATAAACTCCTTATAAAATATGATAAATTGAAATGTAAAAGACACGTCCTATGCCGGTAAGAAAAAGTTAATTTTGATAAAAAAAGAAAAATGTCAGACAAAACGTAAGGCTTGATCTTTCCCTGAGATAAGAAAAAATATTTTCCTTGAAATGCTTACAATCTGACCCACACAACCTGGCATGGAGCAGCCTTCTGAGGTCAAATTCTTCCAGCTGAAGGGGGTGTTTTGTGTAGAACTTCTCTGTGGAGCTTATCCAGGAGTAGAAATTGAATTCCTACTCTGCTCTCATGGCAAGCCATGGAACCAGTCTAAAGCCACTGCTACAGCTTCCAAGGACAACTAATCGTAATTCCTTAATATACAGTTTTCACCAAGAAATCTGTATATGGACTTGGGAATCTGCTGGCAGGGCTGTAACAGCAGTCCATATTCAGCACTGTGAAATCCACTTGGAACTTCACACACGGCTAAACAGGCTCCAGAGCTGCCTGAGAGCCATGCTGAAGGTGTGGAAAAGGCATGTTACCTGAGCAGAAAAACTTTGAATGCTGTTGTGTTAGGGAAGTGCTTACCATTGTCTTGAAAGATCTCTACTGAGAAAGCCAATCAAACTATGATCTAGTATAGGAAAAGGTGGGGTTTTTTCCAAATCACAGAGCTGTGGCCTTTCTAAGGAAGGATATATGTTGTTGAGCCCTGTAAGAACGGCTACAAGACTAGACTTTCCCAGGGGATTATAAGGCAGACACAGAGCCATACCCATAGGAGGCTTGCTCCTTACCTCAGGACTGGGAAGTACCCTCCCAAATGTAAACATAACTAGAAATGTGGAAGGGGTTTTGTGAAATCTCAATGCAGGCAGCCTGAAGAGTTAAGAGGATTGCTGAGACAAAACCATGCAAAGTACCTTTCGGAAACTGCTTTATACTGAAAGACCTGCAACCTGCATGCTCAATGTTAGGAAGTTCTGTGATTATCGAATTCTTTGATTAAGCCTCTATTTGCAGGGCGTTTTTCCATAGAAAATCCAATTCCATTAAAATGAAATTATTCACAAGGAAGATCAGAATTTGTAAAAAACAACTTGCTTCCCAATGAGAAAAATCCCAAATATTTCACTTAGGGTTGGTTTGACTCTTTTTCATTTGATCTGATTTTGAATAAATGGAACAGTATATGCAGTTGCATTGAGATCACTTCCTTGTGGAAACTATAGTCGTCACATAATATTGTAGAGATACAAGGCCCATGGCACAAGCTGGGGAATACACACCGGATAGATTACAGAAGATACACTCCATCAAGTAGCTGGACCCAGGGGACAGGACTGGGACTGAAAGCACCAGATTCCAAAATGACAACCTCCTGCCCTAAAGCAATGTAGTTCAAAGGTTCAATGACTCGCAACCAAACAAGTGGGTTGCTTTACAAATGTAAAGGAAACATTTCACTTCTGGTAATGCTGAACTGTGTTCTTTTGATAAATTTTTAAAAGCTTCTTTTTTGCAAATTGATTTCCCCTGAAATTTCTGTCTAATGAGAAATTTCCATTTTTATTCCCTCTCCAGAATGAAAATAAATGCTGGAACTTCCCCTGGGATAAAACATCCATTATTTAGGAAGTCTCTACCACTAATTTAGGAACCTCTCACAGAGGAAGATCCATTGACTGTATTTTGCATCTCAAGGATTTGCAACAAGTCTGTCTGCTGAAGTCTCATGGAGTAACCAGCAATTTGAAACATCTACCAAAAATTCTCTAAACATTAGGTTTGTCACAAAATCTGAAATAAAACCAGTTTCCAGTGAACCAGAGACTCAAAATCCTTAGAATTTGTAAATAAATCATTTAACATATTTACTTTCTCATGTAATTCAAACATTGTTACACAGTCTGTTATATAGTTATAGAGTTTTTAAAATATCCAAAGTATGGCAATAATTCTTATTTCCCAAACATAATTATGTGCTACTCCAAATATAATTCTATTCTGCTCATATACTTCACAATCTTATTTTAGATATGCTGTGATTAAGATTTTATGTAGATATCAGAATTGCAGTGATCACACTATTGCAGCATAAAGCACCTCCAATAAGTGCAATCTAGGAAAATTAGCGTGGAAAAGTCTTTGGTGTTTGACAGTAAGGTTAATGTTTTCTTCTAATAATAGTCATGTCATTGTTTATTTGCATAATCTATTCTAGCAAATACTTTGATTGCTTCTACATGGATGTAAAACATTAATTATTCCAATATCTTCCAGTGATTTATCAATGTTATGCTATTCAAAACTTCTGACAGCTTACCAAGTTTGTTCATTTATAAACTATAAAAATCTATACATAATATTCTAATTATTGTCATGTTTATTCTTTGTGGTTACTGAAAATAGAATAAATATAAGTAATCTTATCTGGATCTATTTTGATACTAAATATTTTCAGAAAATTATGTTTCATAAATAAATTATTTCATGATACCTGAGAAAACACAACATTTGTCAAAGGGATGCTTTTTATTATAGCATTTATCTATTAAAAAACTTAGGAATGGATTGGAGAAAACTATTTTAATATTAATTTATTTATGGCTTTTTAAGAAAGCACTCAATGCATAACTTACACACGTGTATTTTGCATTCATCCCATGTCCAGTATCAGCCCTTGGGATGTATTTGGCATTTGTGGTAAAAGATTTGCATTACTGCTACACCTATTGCACTCTGTTTTTTGTCAGGTTACCACTGGTTATCTCTTTCACAGACAGCATCTCATTATCAGATTGTAACTGTACAAAGGTTTACAGGCATTTAAGTATAAGAACTTTTTAAAGTTATTTTTTAAGACATGGGTACCTGGTGTAAAAGAACATAAGCAATTTAACTACCCTCTTCATGATGAAGGTAGTAAAAATACAGTTGCATAGAAATAGTTACCAAAAATTTTGCAGAGTAAGTGAATGACAAACTCCTTTCAAATTGCCACATACAATTACCTCTGTTTGTTAAAAATCTAATAAAAAGAATCTGTATCTTTTGGAAAGTCCACAAGTGCAGCATCCTAACCATCAGTTTTAGGAAAGCACATGTCAACATTTCAATTGAAATCAGGCTTTGGAATAAATAAAAGTCTTCAGAATAAATGAAAGCTGATCACTCACCTTCTTGTATTTTGAAAAATTCAGGTAAACACAAAATAAACATGGTAATTATTCCTAGTACTAATTTGAAGATTACTGGTCTTCTCAAAAGCAAGCACATGTCACTGAAGCACTACCATCTAGAATAGTGGTGGTAACTTCCTTCCTGTTTTAGCTTTTAACTTAGTGCAGACTTTATGCAAAATAACATCTATTCATTTCCTTTTCTTATTATGACTTTCCTTTTTACTTCTTGTTAAGTTGCAGAAACCCACATTTTGTTCTTACATTGGCATAGATGAAGATAATTCAACTGAATATACTGAAGATAAAATTCATGGATTACAATGAAAATAAGAGAAAAACCATGCATTCAAATTATTTTATACATTTGGGGTAGTTTTGTTTTAAGAACTCTCTAATAGCCACTTTCTCATACCTTCTAAACAGTAAATTAATTAACTTTGAGAAGGAATTTTGTTCTCATTTGACCAAGAAGATTTAAAAAAAATGAGTCAGACCCTCATTATAAAAATTAGTCAGAACCACATGAGTCAGATATGGAAATTTTATTGGTTTATTTATATACATATGCATTGGGGCTAGGGGGAAGATAATGTTATGTAATACAGGATCTTCGAGACTTTAATAGACTACATATTTGGTCATTACAATCTAAAATTTCTGATCTGGCAATAAGTGATGGACTAGGTACAACGAATTGAGTATGAGTTGTTCATATTATCATTGCTGGTGTATTCTTAAAAGATAACAGATGTGTTGCCAATCTGTCAAGTGTCTTCAGTGTGTATTCTACTATTCATTACACCACAAGAAGACTGGAGAGAGCCATTGCTATTTCTATACATTGTAGTCACAATTTTTCAACTGAATTTTCCAGTTAAAAAAAGTGAAGTATTTCATTCTGACAACCACCATGACATTCCATAAATTCTTCTTGCAGATAAGACTGCAAAGAACATTTCTGAAATGTTCTGAATAAAAGTATTCTGAATAATGCATATGTAAAAAAACCCTCAAATTTTGACTCAAATATTGAGTACTACCCAAATGAAGCAATGCTGTTGAAATTAAAATAAGAAATGCCCTAAAACTTGAAGCACTCTTCTTGTCATCTAGTTATCTCAGAAGATGAGTAAGGCAGGTAGAAGTATGCATTCTATGGAAAGAGACCTAATGAAGCTGTGGACAATAGAAGTTTGTTAATATGATATTTTAAATCCATCATTTTTATGCAGTGAAAGCAATGAAACCAAAGCAAAATGAACCGATTTTTTGGCATTATGGTGGAACAGAAATAATAAGATACAAAAAAATCACAGATATGAATTTAAAAAGTAAAACACTACACAATTTATCTCATCCATTAGCAAATCAGTTCTACTTTGTTTTTGCTGAATTGCATTGCCCATTAAGTATCTTCTGTATCAACTTATATTTTCCTGATTTCAAGGTTGCATGGTGTTCATCCATCCTATATACCCAGAAGGAGTGTAGAAAATACTGGAAAATAGCAGGAGGATTTTGTCAAGTATCTGTTGCTTTCTGATATAGTCAGACTGTCATAGCTGTTGGTAGTGCCCAAGGTCAAAATAGAAATTGCCCTATAGGATCCCACCGAAGTTCAGGCTGATAAAATATTAGCCTGTGGAATATGTTGAGCTTCAGATTCTACAGAAGAAGTCTTCCAAGAACTGCAGTACAGATGGGGAATATCTATTTTAGGGCTACTGTGATGGCACATTTTAGTTTCATTTCTGAGTTCAGAGGGCCCACATGTGATCTGTCTGCACATTCCCCAGGGACACCTTAAGTTTTAGACACTGCTACCCTCAGGCAGTTCAGTGTGTGTGGCCTGGCCACAAACAGACCTGGAAAACAGGTTCCTTGGAGACACGCTACTCTCCACCTAGCTAATAATTTTTACACAGCTGGAACACTGGTACCTTTGGAAACCCTATCCTTTAGTCAGGTTTAGTCAAAATTAGCTCAATCATTTAAAGCCAGACAGGGTGAGAACTGGTAGCCAGGCAAAGCACACAACCATGCAGGCTTTTAATTCTTTCAATGCAGAATTAAACAAAGCAAGAACTATGTATCTCATTACTGCATCAAACCCACATCATCATGCCTCAGCAGTGGCCTCGTGTACCCTTACATCAGTTTTATCAGTTCAAGGCACATCTGGCTGTCACACAGTCTAAGTATTTGGAAAGTCATTCTATCTCTGGAAGGCAGCACTCCCTGGTAAGGCATTGCTCGACGAGGGCAAAGAGGCTGTGTGTGTTCGCCCATGAGGCAGTGAGGAGCAGCTGCCTCAGCCCCACACAGACACAGACTCCTGAGGGGAAGCTAAAGGCTGTGGTGTGTGTCACCGCAGCTTCATTTCTCTTAAATGGGGGAGTGGGCAGCTACAGAAAAGTTCGGCTACGTGCTTTTGGAAGACAGGCACGCAGGGACAGGACGAGGCTTTTATGGGGTTAATCAAGAGAACCTCCACAAAAAGGGAAAACCGCCCCCCCCGCTCCCTCCCGCCCCGCCGGCAGGGGGCGCGCGGCGCCACAGCCCGAGGGGAGCGGCCCCGGCCCCGCCCCGCCACACGCGGCACGCGCCGCTCCCGCCCCGCGGCAGGGGGCGGGGCCAGCCGGGCGGGGCGGGGCCCAGACCGTCCCCGCCCCGGGCCCGTCCCCGCCCCTGCCCGGGCGGAGGCGCCGAGCGCAGGGCGGGCCCAGCGGGGACCGGACAGCGCCGGGCGGGAGCGGCCCTGCCCGCGGGGAGCGGCGCGAAGGCAGCGCTGGCGGCCGCGGCCGGGCGGGAGGCGGGAAGGGGACGGGAGGGGGTGCGGGGGCCTCCCGCGCGGGTTTTTTCCTTTCCCCGCCCCCTCCCAACCGCGCCCCCTTCCTGGACCGCGAGAGGTGAGGAGGGCGGTCGGGGCTCGACAGCGAGGGGAGGGGGCCCGGGGCTGCCGAGAGGGGGAGGAGAAAGTGGTGAGGAGGAGGAGGAGGAGGAGGAGAAGAAGAAGGGCGGTGGTGCGGGCAAGGGCCAGCGAGAGGCGGGCCCGCCGGGCTCCCTCCTGCCGGGTGTGTGCGGGGCGCGGCTGCGGCGCCGCCCGGGGGCAGGGGCAGCGGTGCCTGCGCTGAGCCCGCCGGCCGGGCGGGACCCGCCGTGCTCGGCGGGGAGGTGGCGGCGCCCGAGCGGGGAGTCCTGGTGCGGGATGGGGCGGGGCGGGGTCCGGCCCCGTGGCCGGGTCACTTCAAAGCGTTGAGAGACGGGACCCGCTAAAAGTGCACTGAACGCAGCGGGCTCTCGGGGACTTGCCCCTCTGTCTCTCAACCTTCACCATCACAATATAAAAAAATGGGAAACTTTTTTTTTTTTTTTTTTTTGAGTCTGGTCGAACAGATTAGAACAGCGACCGACTGCTAGCTCGCCGGCATGGGGAGCGGCGTTATTACACCGGGAACAAATAAAAGTATAAGTGCTGAACATCAAAGGGCTGTTTGTAGATATTGCTGGTTCACGCTTTTCCTTAAAGCCTCTTTGTGGCTCCGGGCTCTGCGCTCGGACTGGTTGAGCTGTGTGAGCGCTGGTGCAGCCCAGCTGAAGCCCCGCCAGCCGTGGCTCGCTGTCGGGCTGCTTGGCCAGTAATGTCGTAACAGTCGAAAGGGAAGGTTTAAGTTTGTTCCTTCCTTTCACCTAAAAGTCAATTATGAAATTTTATGAGCTAAACTCCAAATACAGTCTTATTTTCAAGAAAAAAAATATCGTTCATGTCTTGCATGAGCACGAACAGGAAAAAGAATTTGAACTTTTGGTTATGTTGGTGTAGCTTTTTTATCTAGACAAACTGTGGGGTTTTTAGGGGTTCATTTTAGGAGTGGATTTTTTTTAAAAACAGATCACAAGATGTATTTTCATGAGTAGTTTATTAATTTTGCCAGAAACAATCTCTGATCATTTCTTATGAAGGTATTTTTGCCTGAGAATTTTTAGAACCATTTAAAAAAAAAAAAAAAGAAGGCACCTTATTTTTTAATTTCATGGGTGCATTCCTGATAGCGCAGATTGTTCCCATCTTATGTTTTCTGTTTTCCAGTTGCTGAACAGTGTTAAGGAGCATAAAACAGGATAGAACCAAAATAATAACAATAAATAATAACCCTAATCTGAGTCAAATAGTGTTTTCCTCTGCCATATGTCAGCTTCATTGAACCATCCCTCATTTGTGTCCTCTGGATGGGCAGGTCCACTACCAAAGGCAGTAGATTTTGATACATTGTGTTTCACAGAAATGCAATAACTGCTAATTTAAAATAGAATAGAATTTGAGTGAAGATGAAGAAATTCTCCCATTAGACCATTATGGTCAAAGAGTAATTGCAAGCTGTTGCTAACAATGGCAGTTCATAGTGGTGAACTTGTTCCAGCTCTGGACTTTTGTATTACCTGTGCTTTTAAAAAGATTCTTTGCTTATGTTGTTGTCTTGTGATTTTGTTGATATAATTCATCCTTTCGTGACATGGTAAAGAAGATTACCTAATCAGACAGAACGTGGCCCAATAGTGAAAGTTTCTACAGCTCTTAAGAAATTACAGTGTGGTTTTATGTTTCCCTTACAAAATCCTTAGTTTACCTCTTTCCACAACAATTAAATTGCCTTTTCTTATAGCAGTCTTAGCACGTAGAAAAATGCAGTGGTTACAAACCTAACTATCCACAGTTTGCTTTTTTCATAAGAAGAAAATCTTTCATTCAAAGTTACCAGCAAAGCTATGCTGACCATAAATATGCGTGTTATTTGGCTGTGTGCTCTTAAAACCCAGTCATGTAGGCAGGATGAGGTTCTGTGCTCCAGATGTAACAATGAGGTGCTATTACCATTCAGAGAGCTAGGACAGTCTTGCAGCTAGTAAGACAGATCAGATCATGAGAGGTTAAATATTAGGTATCACATTATGCATGCAGGTATCATGTAAGGCTACTTTCTTTCACTTCAAAGTGTACATAGTCACTTGGTACATGGTACCAAGCCAAAAGGAGACACATATTATTTCAGCAGGCTAGATTTTTTTAAGATTTGTAGTGACCTGTAAATAGGA